GATCTATAGCACAACCCTGTGTTTTGTTTACTCATTCATGTGTTGTACTGAGATGAACTTCAAGAACAGAAACTAAAGAATTTTCTGTGTTCTTCAGCTTTCCTCTCTGTTTCTGACAGTCTGCCCATACAGAATTTAAGGACTATCTGCTTCTTCATTACTTCTCCATCTGGAGTTCCATCTCCTTTAGCAATGTGTGGGAAGTTGATCAAGTACACTCAGTGAGAAAATGGAATTGCAGAAACAAGTCCTTTGTTGTCGCATTGCCAGTTTCAGCCTGTACTCTGTTAAGGTGTGCAAGCTCTTGGGCAACACCTGTGTCGTGCCTACATTGATCATGTCTGTGTACTTTTGGTTTTCAAGTCCATGAACTGTCCTGGAGTAGAAGCCAGGCGTCTGAGCTGCCACACGAGGTGTTCTCATCCTGCAGCTGTGGAGCCATGACTCCGGAACTTTTTTGCACAGTGGAGCAAATTCTGTGGAATTGGTGGAGGGACAGCTTTCTGTAACCAACAGCTTTGTGTTCAGCTCATGTCCCTGGGCAGGGGTGGCTCAGCACTCTCCCAGCACCTCTTGTCTCCTTCTCCTTTATGGGGAATGTAATGCTGAAAATAACTGAAGAAGGCTTGAAAACCAGATCACAGATAGAAATATATTTTTAATAATAATTGAGAGTTGTCTGGATTCAGGTAATGATTTTAGAACCCTCTAATTATATGTTTTCTGGAGTCACTGGCAGAACAGCTCTAAAGTGTTGCTGTGAGCCAGCACACCACTGACAGATGTGGTCAGAGGCTGTTCTGTTCCATCTTCAGTTCAGAGTTCTTAGTGAATTTTGTACTTGAGGCCATGTTATGTTTTATCTGGTAGGAAATAATTCACATGTAACTTCAATTGTTTAGACAAATGAAAAATTGTCTCATGTGAAGGTAAATTAAACTATTTGGTTCCTCTTCTAGAAAACTGAACTGAGACTTCATGGCTTTGCGTAAGGACTTCTAGGAGAAGATGGCCCTGGAAAGCGAAGGAATTCTGAATTCTCATAGAATCTCAGAATCTGGGATGATCTTCCTTATGTTACAGTAATATTTTGTACTACCTTTGAGCTAAACATTTAAGGACTAATATTATTGAAACTTGAATGATTCACAGCTCCTAGGTTGCAAATAAATTTAATAATTCCATCCTCAAAACCATATGAACATTAATTATTTTGGAATGTGCTTGTGGATGGGCCTTCAGTAATTACTGGCCTTGCTGATGTCAGTTGAGGAAGAGAATAACATCTCTGTAAAAGAATAAGTTAAAAATATGTAAAACTGTCACTTTAACATAGAAATAATTTTACAATCCCAACTTCCCTGCCTGTTTTTCCACAGGGTTACATAACACCCGGTGAAAGCTCTAATAAAGTATGAATTCAATACATTGCAAGCTGTTGGAAATGTACAATATAGCTCCGAGGAATCTGCTGGTTATTTTTTTGCTGCTAAACAAGTGCGGGGCAAATTTCCATGTAAATTGGTCATAAATGAAGTTGAATCCTTCACTTATCCTGTAAAATTGTAAAGGCGATTTGGGAATTTGTACATGTTCTGAAAGGTAGAGCCATTAATAACAGGAGGACTGTCAAATACAGGTTTGGAAACGGTGTGTGGTACAAGGGATCCATGTAAAGAGGAGGCTGCACCTTATCTTTTTAACTTTGATAATTGTACTCTTGGTGACAACAGCTTATTTTAACTGAAATACATAGTTTAGGCACAAGGTGCTTTAAGATGAGATGAAAACTAGCTCTGTAAGTCTATCTCTAAGCTTTTAAAAAGCTCAGTGCACTCTAAGTTTTCTGTTGTCAGTTTGTGTTAAACTGAAGTAAGGTTTAATCCACTGTGGACTTTTCCCAAGTCACATTTTGGAAATACCAATTCTGGTATTTCTCTCTTATCCTTCTACTTACTTTCAAAACAAAACGTTTTAGCTAATTTTGGTGCTGATTTTTTCCCCCCCACAGAGTATTTATTAACCAATATACAGATAAGAGTTACAACTCTGTCAAGTTTGCTTGACTAAAGCATGCTTTACACTCAATTTTAAAATAAATTAATATATAAGTTGTTTAAACCTCTGGAAAAGGCAAATGCACTTAAATTAGATTTGACAGACAACTTAAGACTTTGCTATAAAGAATTATACCACAACATAATCCATAGTTAAGCTCTGAATCTTCGGCAATTTCATGATTATTGATGTACTTTCATTCTCCACCTGGATTACATATTACAAATAATTTTTAAGGAAAGTTTTTTTGTCCTTCCTGAAAATCTTTTATAGTTTGGAAAACATTTTTCATAAAAGCTATACTGTATAAAAATGTAATCAGAGAATTTAATGTTTGTTTTATCAGAGAAATTTTAATCTTTTTAGTTACATTCAGGGTTTTTTTTTAGTTACATTTCCCCTCTTCTGATTTTCTTACTGTAAAGCTGAATTAAAAATTAAATAAAATGGTTGTAATCTCTTTGAAGACTGCTGTAACAAGTAGATGGATTTGTGTGCCAGAGATGAGTTTTTGGCATGAGATACACTGAAACCTCAGGTTTGAACAAAGCTTATCCTGGAAGGGAAGTTCTGCTGTGACCTGAAGCCCTGGTATCCAAGCTTAAAGTTCCTAGAGTGATTGACTTCTCCCCACAAAAGATATAAATCATACAGGAAGGATACTCTAGCTTGAAGGTCACGTGAAAAATAACCTCCCTGTCCTGTCTTCTGCCAGGACAAAGCACCCTGGAGAGCCTCCCCAGTTCAGAACCATGTTAGACGTAGATATCAAGCTCTTAGAGATGGGACAAACATTCCCAAAGGTACTTAATTGTTAACTTCCCACTGAAATAAACGTGGGCTTGTACTATCCTTGTTATTTATTCATGTTTCAATAAATGAATCCCTTAATATTTTGTATTTTATCTTGAACTTTCTTAATGCTTACTAAATGGTGTACCCTGGATGCTGGGACTGAACAGAAGAGCTTGCTGGCTGTGTCATGAAGAGTCAGTCTGAGCCTGTAATACAAAACATCACTTTTGTAACAATTTACTTGTAACTCAGAACTGGGCCCCAGCCTCTAGGGCTATCTCAAACTCACTGTGACTGCAACAGATTCCTTATTGACTGGTGTTTCAGCTTAAAGGTAAGGAAAACTATTGGTGGTGTTTTTTTGGTTTTGTTTTTTTTTTTTTTTTTTTTTTTTAAATCAGCTGTCCAGGTACAAAGACACAGCTTTAATTTGGAGGAAGTGGCATAAGCAGATCATTGGAGCTCAGAACTGGTATACATTGCTCAAGCCTATGCTCTCCTCAGGAGTGCTGGCAGTCAAAACAGTTCTGCACAACACTGAAACAGCTTAGGCCCAGCTCAGAATTGCACTTCTGAACCAAATGTCAAGTTGGTTTCCTGCAGCAAGTCAAGCTTTATTTAAAAAGCAGAGGTTTGTTCTGTCTAAAACCAGACTGGAGATATTCCACCCACTAAGAGTTGATAAGAGAACAAAAACAGAGCCAGGTGTGTGTGTGTGGTACACCTGTTCCAGGCTCAGGGCCTTGTTTCTGCTCCTGCTCTGCTCCTGTGGCAGCACAGCAAGTGCTGAGGAGATGAGCATCTTTTTTTTTTGACTCATTCTAGTTACCACAGAAGAGGAGGAGGCTCCCGGAAGGCGTTGCAGGCCAGCTCAGGACTTTGCTCTCCTGGTGTTAAGTACACAAATATAGCGTCTACTAAAGCCTGCAGCCACAGGTTAGCATGTTATGAACTGAAGGCCACGCACACCTGTAATAAAACCTATTAGTTATTTCCCCATGCAAAATCACTCCTTGCTGAGGTAGTAGGAAACAGAGTTTGCTTGTGTAAAATCCACCTCCCCTGTTCCCAGCAGGGTCAAAAGTATACCACAAAGTTAGAAGAACAATATTTTATTTAATACAACATTATTCTATTTTATGTATTTACACAAAAGCGTGCAAAGTAAATTTTTTTGAGAGGAAAAGAATGCATTTCATTGCAAGAGTAACCAGAGGTAAACCAGACCATGCTGAAATTGGAACCTCCTAACTCAACAACACAGGACAGTCAGCACCTTGGCCCCCAAACTGCACTGTACAGGGGAGTCCAACAGCAAGTGAGGGGTAGGAGTAGCTGTCCAAGACTGCTATTTCTGCATAACAAAGTGTGACACTGATCTCTACGGTAGTTCTTAGAGGGACAGGCCTGCGCTGATGGCAGATAAACTATCTCCCAAGATCAACTGGAAGCTGCAGAGTTTATACGTAGGTTATGGACAGCAGGTTTAGGCCTGTAGGAAGCACCATGTAACAGCTGGAGTACTTGCCAAGTGATATGTTTCACAGCTTCTAAGGATCAGAAACTTTTGCCAGCTTACTTAATTATTTATAAATAATTACTAATGAGAATAAACTTTAAATCTCTTCCAGCTACCACATTATAGGTTTTTGCACTTTTACATGTAGCATTTCAAGGGAAGCAACAAGTGGGGCAAAACTTTAAATAGAGTTAAGAGTTGACAAGGAATTCCTTGTTGAACAACAAAGCTGAAAAACCACCAACTACAAACAAAACCACACCACAAACCCCAGCAATCAACATGTTACACTCCATGTTTGCTACAACAAGGATAAATGCAAGATACTGAAGGGAACAGGGTATTGCACATCTTCAGTGCTGATGGTGCAGAATTTAAAGTTTTGGACACCAATGTAGCAGTAACTCCATACTAAACATTAGGATTTGTCTGTTGGTCTCTTTACTGTTCTTACAGAATCTATGTTTTTGTATTGCATTAATCAACAGGTAGAAAACTAGCAATTTTCTTTTAGAATAAGGTTTTTACAGAAGCTTACTTGACCTTTGTGACTGATTCAGATGGGAACATTTTATACTGCAAAATGGGAACAGGTGTAACCATTCATAAAGCACTGAAGATGAAGAGCTGGTGTGATGTTCAGTTTATATTTACTCAACATGTAATCATAGTCCATTCTTGTAAGACTCACTTTCTTAAACCAGATTACTAGAAATGGAAGAATAAGTTTTATAAAACACCAGTGATTGCATACCTAAAAGTATCCCTCCTACCCCAGTTTATATATTCCAACTGTACAGCAAAACCACAAAAGAACTTCTCATCACATTCAGAGAACACTGTTTACGGATACTGCTTCAGCAGTGCATGACTTTGTTGGCACCTTTTTCATGTAACAAGGTAAGAGATTGAACAATTTAGAAGTTTTCTGAAACTGCAATCCTTAGCAAAAGGAGTGAGACTCACTGTGTATTTTACAGCTAGAGCTGGGATTGGGCATTTTGAGCTGTTAAGAATCACCTCTCTCTAGGTTTTTTTTAGGAAACTTCCATTTTCTTCACTTTTCCCATTCCTTTTACAGCAACCTGAGGGGACAGCAGGAAGCCTAGCAGACACTGTGTGCTCAGAATTGCATCAATAAATCCTGTCTTCCAGGCAGCAGAGTGATGGAAGGACAACTCGCATCTGCTACAAAAGGGGTCAGTGCATGAAGCCACTTTTGCCACTTGGCAAAAATCACTAGTAAAATGCTCAGCTGGTACAATGCCCTTGGCTGGCACCACCATGTAGCACAAGTGATCTTTATCTAACAAGTACAAACCTGAAAAAATCTTCATTCAGTTAGCAGAGAAAGGTACCTATGCAACAGAAATACTGAAGATTATTTAAACAGGATTACCTAAAAACAAACCTCTGAAACCTAGCAGATTCAAGTTTTGTGTTGCATTTAAAGACAGATTAAAGTATACTTATCCCTAATTCAGATTTATAACACTGAATATACGCTTCTATCTTATGTTCTAGTAAAAATCTAAGCTCTTGTGAGTTTACAGAACACTCTGTCACTTTGCAGTACATTATAGTCTTCAGTATACAGCAGCTTCAGTATGAATACTGCTTCACTTGTTAAAAGCCAAAATCATCTGACATGAGTGAGCACACACACACAGGGCATTTTCTAGGTAAAACTTGTAACTGCTAAAATGTATGTTCAGTCCAGCTTCATACAGCCCAAGTGGTTACAATGCAACAATTTCAGCAGAGGATTTGTTTAACAGAGTTAAAGGAGTGCTTCCAGCCCAGCCTGTCATCACACCAAACCACCAATAGGTACAGTTTGTACGCATTTTTGTCCTTTCCCTACTAGGTTTAGCCGGGAAATAACATCGCACCTCCTAACTGGAATTACTCATTGCTATGAAAAAGCCCCATCACTGTCAAGAGTTACCAGCTCCAAGACAGTCAATGCTCTGGTTTCTTAGTAAGGTGCAGTGAGTGCACAAAGGCACTTGATACCAGTTGCATACAGTAGTTTCACTTTAGAATAAAGGAGACTATAATAAAAAGACCGATCATGTAAAACACTAAATTTGGCCAGGAAACTCAGTCAAGACCAAGCTAGTGTTACCAGATAACCTGTAAGTGTGCAAAACCATGGAGAATGTTCACTTATCTTGATGCTACAAGCTAAATCCAGACACAGTCAGGTGCTGAGCGTTATTCCTTGCTTCAAAGTAAGAGGTATCAGTTTCATCATCTGGCTGGGGTATAAACGGCATGGTTTGATTCTGCAGATTATCCCAGTCCACACCATGAAAGAGGGGGTGATGTTTCAGCTCTGGAACAGAAGTTCACGTAAGCATTATAAACTTCCTCAGAGCCAAGCCCCACCGGCACTTTGTTCCCTTATGCATAACTGTCACTAGATTTGCTCTATATTGCTTTTTAGAAATTCATAGAAGTGCAATTTGCAATTGGGCTTTGATTACCCCCAACCTCAGTGGCATCAAACTACTGTCCTGCCAACAAGCTGCCTTCCCCTGTCCGGGGACCCTGTTCCACACAGAGCAGAACAGAGGTGTCCCAGAGACATTTCTCATGCTGGGGCACCAGAGAAATTCTAAGCATCACTTTAAAGTCTGTTTATAATTTTACCAAAGTTCTGTGCTGAGTAGACGTGTGAGTCACTCCCACCCGTCGCCACTCCAGGTCCTCTTCCTTTTGCTCTCTCATGGATTTGATTCCCTCCTCTGCTTTGCACAGTCCCCTTTGGCCTAACACCAGACACGGAAGTCTGAATGCCCTTATGGTGAAGTTACCACAGATCACCAGACTTCACTTTCCCAGCCTCAAAATGAGATAACTAACCAAGCTGCCAGACTTTCTGACTCAAGGAGAACTCCCCTGCCCTATCCATTCTGACCACAAGGTCACCTGGCATGAGGTTCTGATATCAATTCTGCATAACCTGGAAACACCACTCCCTGATGAAAATGACTTTGCTACTTTGATTCAATACAATAAAACACTTTTTTTGTCTAACTGGGATACAAACCCATGTTTTTATCACCTGCACCACAAAAATCAAAGGCAAATTAAAAAAATTAGGACAGGAGAAAAATTTAAAAAAAAACAAAACACATTTGGAAGGAGGGGGAAGTTTGACCAAGGCACTCATCACAAATTTTACACCTAAGCACATACCACAGGCTTTTAGCTGATAGACAGGAAGACATCAAAATTTATTATTTCTGCATTTCCTGATCAAAATACAGCAACACAACATTAAGAGTTTATTTTAGACAAAAAGGCAGAGTGAGTTTTAACTCCTTCTAATGGCTTCAGCAGCCACACAAGCAGCACGGCATTGCACAGATCCATTATCTCAGAACTGTATGTAGTTCTGCTCTGAGGAAAGTTCTCATGCACCAGAAGCTGCCTTTGGCCAAGAAGGTAAAAACAAACTTCTTTGTCTTTTCCCACAATATTCACATGTACCTCAGCTGGCACTCAGCTCCTGCTCACAAGACTGAAGAGAGGAGCAAAAACCAAACCAACACCAGATATCAGTGTTGTCTGCCAAAACCTGCTTTAAAGCTGCCCTTATCTGGAGAGATTGAACTCACAGAAGCACAGCAGTAGGACAGGACATAACTGGGGTTTCTCAGTACCTAAGGCTTCATGCTATAGCAATAAAAAGGGAGAGCATGTGTTTTTGGGAGAAGAGAGAAGATGACAGGTACAATGAGAAAAACTTAATGGTTGCCCTGAAAACTACTCATCCAACTGGACAAAGAGATGGGATCCAGTTATAAGGCTTGACAAAGAATGAATTTCCGAGAAGTTCAGATGGGAAGAAGCCATTATGTCATCCAGATTAAATTTCTATCCTTGACAGGCAATTAGATTTCACTCCAAAACCATAAAGACAATAACTTGTATTTAACTAGAACACCTTCAAACTGCTTTTTGGGAGACATTAAAGCCACAGAATTTGCTGTTGACATCATGATCTTCATTTATACTCCTGTGCCTTCTCTAATTTGATCTGGTCTGGTTCTGGCTTCAAGTATTTTAATCTCCTTATGAGTAACCATTTTCTTCTCTAGTGATTTCTTGCACAGTTCTCTCATAAGATTTCTTCACCTATTTCCAAAACATCCCACTCTAAACTTCTTTTATGTTACTAACTTTTTTTTATAAAACATAATCACTGTTAACAACAACAAAGGTTTAAGTCCTTCTAAGAGGGAAAAAAAAATATATGTAGACTTTGTATAGTATATACTGTCCAACTCCTCTATGCATTCAAAGACAGGCTGATTCCCAAGTAAAAACTCCTTTGAATTTACTGTTGCAGGAAAATTCTCTCCCAAACTGGAGCCAAAACAGGCTTTAATCAAGGTTCCCAAAAATCATTTAGGTTAAGAACTCCAAGTTAGATAAGAGAGAACTTTGGTCCGTCAGATGTCAAACACTAATCATGCACTAAACCTAATCAGGCACTGAAGTTTATTAGTCTAAGTTTCAGGAGGAGGACACCACCACTTTGAAATTTACAATTAGTTGCAAAGAACACAATTTTAATACTAACCTTTCAGTCCAGCTCTCTTAGTAGTGTCAATTGTTAGAAGAATATCTATTGCATTTTGGGCATTATCAGACAGCTTTTCTTCACCCTCGGGCCAGGGAATATCTACAGACAAAGATGCAGATGATTTGGTAACTCAAACCATAAATCAAATATTGGAAATACACAGTTACCCTGATTACTGAAACAGATTACCTCTTTTCAAAATATTTTGGAAAACTTGTGCTGGTGTTTCATCGTTAAAAGGTGGAATTCCAGTTAGAAACTCAAACAGACAAACTCCAAGGGCCCACCAGTCTACAGCAGAACCTGATAAGAGAAACCCAGGTCATTACACTTACACCAATAGTATTTACAAGGACTTGAAGATTAGCCATGGTAGAAATTGAAGAGTGTTTAAATTCTACAAATTTCTTGAAAATGAAGGAAAAGACAAAATAAGTTGTATTTAATATTCGTGCAGATTAAAAATAGATTAAAAGTTTCTTTAAGCCACTCTGCTCCTTAATTCATTATAGATAACACTGGGTTTACTGATAAAAGCTAGGGGACTCTTAATAACAATCTAATTATCAAATTCCATCAGAATCCAGGAGCTGACTTCTTCAAGAGACTGTTTCGTGACAAGAAACAGCAGCCTAATGTCTGCTCTAGACCTGGGTGAGTGCTCCATGTTGTAGCCTGTATCTTCCTCTCAGTTCTTTGAGAAGACTCCAAGAATTCAAACTATTGAACATAAATTTTCATTTGCCTAAATTTATGTGAATGTCTTGAAGACAACTTCCAGAGATGAGCCAGCACACAAGAAGCTGGAATTGCTTTTCAATGGGGTAATGTGTAGTTCCTAGCTATCCCTCCTTTGTAATGAAATATAGTTTCGGTTTTCCACATTGCAGGTTTGGTTTTTTTTCCAATTCCCTTTTTAACACTCTACACAAAAACAACCCAGCAAAGCAATCCCAGACACCGCTGCATGCATTCTAAGCCTTCTGCATCTTTAAGCCATGCCTGCTCCACAGTATAAAGAACAGATGCCAGAATAGATGCTGTAAAATATCATCTTTGAAAGGCAGTAAGTCTAATTGCTCTTGGATTTTTTTTGCATATCAAAAACATTAAGACGCCTCTAAGTTCAGAAAACAAATGTTTTGAGCTGTTTCATGAGGACTACTGTTAAGTTTAGAGATACTGAAAACCCAAATGTTTAACTAGTAATCTAATGCACTTTTAGCAACTTGAAACAGCAGCAAGAGTGGCCCACCAAGCCAAGCATATCGCAGCAGTGAGATCACACTCACACTTGTTAGAGTACTTGGATGTTCAGATACAACACTCCCAGCTCCAGTCAAAGTCTAATAAGATCACAACTCTGAACAATGTAGTAACACAGCTTTCAGCAGGGATTTTTTTTCTACTCGAAGTTTAACTAAGATTAGATTTACTACCATATATCTCTCTGCTAAACAGAACCCAAGGAACAGCATAAAGTTATGCCAGGGAAGGTTTAGGTGGGATATTAGGAAAAAGTCTTTCACCCAGAGGGTGGCTGGGCACTGGAAGAGTCTCCCCAGGGACTTGTCCCAGCACCAAGCCTGACAGAGTTCAAGAAGTGTTTGAAAAATGCTCTCAGGCACAAGTTGTGATTCTTGGAGTGTCCTGTGCAGGGCCGGGAGTTGGACTTGGTGATCCTTGTCCCTTCTAACTCAGGGTATTCTATGATTCTGTGACTTGAAGCAAGAAGCAGAAATATGAGGTCTTGAGCATCTGAGCGTTCTTCACCCACAGATGAAGTAAATCAGATTGACTACATAAACTAAAAGAATGAGAAGTGTCTCTGGCTTACCCCCACAATTTCTGTAAGAATGCTGACTTTCCTTCTGAAGTATATGCTTACATGTACGATTTCTGATATCAATATCAGTGTGACTAAGCTGTTTCCTGAATCTGTGTGGGAGCATCACACATTTTTATGTGGAGTGCATATTGGACATGTTTTCCTATGTAAGAACATTGTTCACCCAAACAATGTTCTTGGAAATTGTGATCTAATTATACTTTGACTGTTCAGTTATGCTGAAGACTTAATTCCTGCACAAAATATGGAAAACTCACCAGAGATCAGAGTCCCTGCATATGAAAAGACAACGAAGTAAGAATATTGTTACCAAAAAAAAATAAAATCTAACAAATATAAACATCAAATATCACATATGATTCTCTGAAAGCATAAAAATGCAGGTTTTTTTATTAAGGTAGTAACTCCACAATAAAGAAAAATGGCTATGTTAAATCTAAGTTAGAAACAGAAATAAAATAATTTTGTAACATGATTATTTTGGATTAAAACTACCTTTACAAGCACCTCAACAACACAGGAAGTGTTTAGTGAAGAAAAGTTTGGAGTTCCAAAGCCAGAAAACCATAGCTTCACTGAAGGTAACAGGGAATGGCAAAAGCTAAGCACTAACTATTTTTGAATAGTTCACTATCTTATTACTTGAAGGGTTTTCAGTTCTAGAGACACTCAGAAATGTAAATATGTCACCTTTCAAGCACTGACAAATGGCTGGTTTGTCTTACCGTGAGGCTTTGTCAAAAGCAGCTCTGGTGCCAGGTAGTCTGGGGTTCCCAGGATGCGTTCACCTTCTACGGGGGCAGCTCCTCTTCTTACACTCTTTGGAGTCCGATAGGGTGTGCCAGCATCCCCCTGACGAGGTGTCTTAAAAGATGCAACAAAGATTTCAGATGCCAAACAAAACTAGCTGAGAAACTCCCATCTCCAGGTTTAGTAATGGATAGAATAGTTGATACTCAAGTTTAAGTCAAGAACATGTCACAAAATATTCCCTGAAAAGTGCACGTAAAATGTGCTTCCACTGCTTTATCTCAACAATCTTGAAGCATAAAGTCAAAATGCCTATTCTTCAAGAAACTTATCCCTAAGTTCTTCCTTCCGTGTGAAATCCACAGCAGCTATTACTGTTTACATCAGGCTTTGTAACAGGCTTATAACTGGCACTTGACATAGTATACCATCACTTTTTCCAAGACAAAAAAAAAGGAAAATAGTGGGCACAGTGGCAGCTACTAGCAGCTGAACAGCATTTGCAGACTGTCTTGGGAGGGGTGCAGGATTAAATCAAAGACTTCCCATTACATCAGGAAACCTATAATTGCTCAAAGGAAATATCACACTGTACTAGAACTAGAATGAGATAAAAATAGCACAGTTCACTTATCAGTTCACTGTAACAGCAGTGGATTTCTCAAAGAGGTCAACAGGCAATGCATTTTGAGCCACAGGCAAACCAATGAACAGTTATTGCTAAACCTTACAGAAACTGTAATTTTAGCCACAATGCAGTAAGAGAAAGTCTGTCAAAGTGACTTTTGCTGACAGGTTACCTCAAACTACTCGAGTTCTCCCTAAATTTACAACTGAAGTAATTTCAGGTTGCTAATGGTCCAACGCACGCACGAAATTTCCATGTCTCCTTACCTACCTGATAAGCCTGATACGGCCTTCCTTTCTGGGATGGAGTGATAGCTGTTGGGTAAGAGCCACTACAAGCAGGTGAAAGATCCATTATATCTAAAGAAGCCATGCTACACGGCTCAGATACATTGGACATATTAATTGGGCTATTGTAACTTCGAAAAACAACAGCACTTTTTTTAAAGAGACTCAGAGCTTCCATCATCTTTTCTGAAGGAGGAGATACTGTGTTAAGGTAAGCTCCTTCCCCGTGTTTCTGGTCATTATTCTTTTCACGATGTAACAACTTGCAGTCCTGGACTGTATGTGCTTCCTCTCCACTTTGTGGGGCATCTTGGGACTCTGGCGACGTTACCAGCACGCCTTCAGGTCGTGGCTCCTCAAAGGAGAGGTCTTTAACGCTTTTGTCCAAATCTAAAAGCTGCTTTTCTAAATGGCTTTCCGTGACAGACATTTCAGTAAATACATCAGAATCTGCACTGAGGATCCCTAAAGGTTTCTCGTCATCAGTATCTAAAAAACTTGAGTTCATGTACTCCTTTTCATCATCCTTTCTGTAGTCTGCATCCAGATCACACATAAGATTTTTGGCTATAGTTGGAGTAAGGGATCTTTCTCCTGTTTGTTGGTTGCTAATAGAACACTTCACTTCCTCCTCACTTCTGCAGGTGTCACGTGGGCATTCATCATTACAGAGCATTAAGGATTGAATTTCTGTTGTCAAACCCGTCCTACTGTTTGCTGGAAATTCAGAGATCTGACAGCCACGTTTATATTCTGCGTTACTTTTTTTAACATAATTAAGTTCCTGACAAGGACTGGTATCAACTAATTCAAAGCTTCTTTTAACACTTGGTTTTTCAAAAACTTCTTCCTCTTTGAAAGGCTCATTCTGCCATGAAGATGACTGCTGTGGACTGGAATTTTCTGCTGTTTCTTTAGTTCTCTCTCTTTTATTTACACAGGCTTTTTCTTCCCAAGTCTTTTCAGAAATACATTTTCTTCCTACGCCTCTCACATCCAGCGTGGTCACAGGAGTATCTGTTATATTTGAATGTTCACTTCCCAACTTCTGCTTACAGCCAGAATCATTTCTGACAATGGGAGAAATAGCAGACTCAAGTTCTTTTTTCTTCAAAACTTCCATACTTTTGCTATTTGGCAACTCAACATTTGAAGGGAGAGCCGATCCACTGTTACTTGTTTTGCATGTTGCAGAACCAGGTTCATCTTCATTGTACTGCAAATAAGCATATTAAGCTTTAAGCATCAAGAAAAATAGGATTACAGCACTAGAGAAATGTGTCCTTTGAAATTCTTGATTTTCACTTCCATAATGAAATGCAGATTTGCAAGCATTACTTATTCTAACCACTACTAGTGATGAACATGGCGTAATATTTAAAAATTAAAAAGAGGTCAAAACCAAACTAAGGATAACTTGATAACTGGACTTTTCTTATGAACATAAAATAAGCTTGCTAGAGTACAGTAGAAAATGCAGTATTTTTAAATGCCCAAGGATGAAAAAAATACAGCAACTGAAGTTGTATTTGTGGTTTTATGTTAAGAAGTTAAGCTACAGAAGTCTTCAGGTGCTAAGAAATTCCAAAGCAAAGAACTCCATCATATTGCCCTGTGGCATATTACACTTCAGAGATGACAAAAGGAAAATCTGATATTACTAATATTTTGGTAACACAAAAATAAAACCAAGGCCTTGAGAAACAGACAGATAAATATAAAAACCAGACAAATAGACAGAATTATGAATTGTTTTAAATCCAAGTTTTTCTGCACGATCTAAATAAGAATTATGGTAAAAGACTACAGAGCAAAGGAGCATTTTGTTTTAGGTCTGTATTTGTACAGAATTTCATTAAAAGTTTAAAATAGGAGAAAGTATTTTGTATCAGCTACAATTATTGGTGTTAGGTTAGTTGATACAAAATTCTTCAGTAATGGAAACAAACTCTTTTGTTTTAACAGTTAGTAGAAGTTTGAAGTGTATTTTCTTCATTATTTTCCCAAGTTGCGGTGTTTTAAAGAAATTATTTTGTCTGCATGCTGAGCAAATAAAGCTCTAGGAATAAGATCAACTTCCAAAGTGCTCCCAGCATCGGCCACCTATGCAGGGCACAAACCAGTGATGGCCAGTAGAAGCCTTCCCTTTCACTGCTTTGCTGCAGGCTCTAACATCTGCTTTTCCTGCTTTGTTATGCAGGACTAATATTTGTTTGAAGAAAAAATTGATCCAAAATTCTACTCAACAAGAATTACAACCCCTGCTTCTTTCTCTACACTTGAAATAAGTGTAAGTAAGTAGAGGAGATTTGCAACACTGCATACACAAGTACAAAATAATTTTAATTTTTAGTGGGAAGATGAAACAGTCCTGACCTCTACATCTTTCTCCCACCTGGGGCTGCTGAAGCATTCTGATTCCACACTGGACTGGTGAGTGTGTGACTCACTAGTAACACTGCAAGCACCAAACCTCTTTCTTGACTGAAGTAGAGTAGGAGTCAAACTTCTTGCTGGCATCACAGGCGTTAATTGAGAATTATCAAGATCTTGAGGGGAAAAAACAAATCAAATGTTGATAAAAGTTGATACAAGTTGACCAGCTTCACACTATGTCAAGCTTTCACGTTCAAGGAACTTATGGAAAGCTTTCAATAACAACATAATTTCTCTTTTCATCTTTCCCACATAGTCAATTTACACTTTTTTTGAATTAGGGAGTTGCCAAGAACATAAAAGCAATATTAATATTACCAGCATAGTCACCTTCTTTCTCATTTCAGGTTAGAAATGAGAAAGCAGCAAGGTAAGACAATTTAAAGGAAAGCACTCACTGCTACATTAAATAATTTTCAATGATAATATGCCAAGAACTGACACTTTCTGTCGTGGTTTTGAATTCAGTGGTTGTGATTTGAAAAAAAAAAAGCCAAAAAATATCAGAAGATAGTGTAAGTAATGTAGGTGAAAACACACCAGACGAAAAGCACTGGAGGAACGGTAAGACACTGATAGTAGCACACCTTTTATGAAGCGGGTCCAGAGTACTCACATAAAATTAAAAGACCACAACCTTAGAGCCAGCGTATTCCCTCAGCACAAGGCTTGGTATACTCACGTGTTTTGAAGAATTTAGTTGAAAGAGGGGTATTTTCCTTTTGGACCATAGGTAAGGGAGAAACCACTCCACGCAAACTGTCGGACGATTGACTTGAATTGTGCGCTGGCATTTTCATTCCAACAGGAGAATACTAACAAGCAGGAAGAAGCATAGTCAAAAATAAATGGAGTCTGAACAAACAGTCAATCCAGGAATGAGAACATAACTTCACACATTCGTTATTATATTTGCATTGGAGCTTGGCCATGCCCATTTACCGCACCTTGAAGCGCAACTGATAGTCAGCAATTCAAAATACAGACCAAGGTAATCACTTCAGAACTTTAAAGTACTGGAAATATATAATAAGTCAATGCTACTGGCTGGCAGAAGAGATGCAAAAATAGCCTTATCATGCTGATTATTAAATTTAAGATAGGAAGTAAATTAAAAGAATTACATACATCAAAGATAGTGACAATTACTTACGAAGCCCAGAGAACTGATAAGAGACAACAATTGTCCTGGAGTACGTGAGTAGTCTTGTTTTGGCTTTGCCATTGATGGCGTAGTAAGGATATCTATCATATTTATCTCTGCAAACAGACAAAAAAACCCCAAACAGGTCAGGTTTTCATTTCAGTATTAAAAAAAATGGCAAAGTTGCAGACATTTACTTAAGTTTTATCAAGAGGAAAAAAGTCACATGCACAACAAGCATACAAAAGAAGCCATCAAACTCAACTGAAGATGTACCCATACATTCTTATTTTCTTATTCAACATAAGCTGTTTCTTCCTATACATCCATCATAAACTTATAGTTTATATATAGAAAAACTGTAAAACTCCAAATTCTTTTCCAATAGACTATGCTGGAAGTATTAAATTTTCTAACTTGATAAGCTTTGGTTTTTAGGCAGCAGTTCCAGCCTATGGCCCATGGATTAAGATGGCAAATTTGATTCAAAGCTGCCGCCTCTCCAAAAGACATCTCAAAAAAACCACAGAAGAACTTTTCACAGGTGAAAATTCAACTTTAGATCCTTTTTTTTTTTTGCTCACTAGCAGTAAATAGGCTTATGGCTTCCATATCACGTTCAATTAGACACAATCTCTGCCTCAGAACATCACTTAAAGCAGTACATTATAGAAAACACACTATACTTAGGATTTTCCTTCATATTCTTAAAACGATGAATCAAACACCATAAACTCCGAATTCATGCATTCCTTTAACTATTTAAAAAAGATGTACCCACCAGCAGCTGTCTCAAAAAAACCTGAGCTGGTGCTGTGCAGCCTAAGTTTGGACAATCTGGCTAAGGGGCTGGAGTTACAAACTAGTTCAGAAACAGGCTATTCACCTTAAGACCTGAAGCCTATTACCTGTGCCAGGCAGTTATCTGTCTATTCAACTATATTTACTGCTACTTGAAAAGAGAATGTCAAAGCACTGATTCAATCTTCTGTTGTGGAGTTAGCTCCTCTCCCTGTCCCTCATATTAACGTCTGCAATGTCTCAGCTAATTTATAGGAAATTAATATATACAAGGACTGAGAAGCACAAACTGAGGAACAGAAGTAGTAAGAGAAATACCAAGTTTTTCATTTACTCACTGATTTCTCTCTGTGGATTTCAGAAAACTTTGAAATCCATACCCCTCAAGAGAAATGGCTCTAGATCATATTTCATACAACCTTGTGCCAAAGAATAAATATTTTACCTTCTGAAGTGCAATGTATAGAGCAGACCCTTTACTAGCATGTAGCTTATTGGTACTTGTCTACTAGAAATGAGATATTTGTGCAAAATTTGCACTTATTTGAAAGCTGACCTCTATAGGGATGCAAAACATTCAAGAAAACAGAAATGTGACTCAAAAATACATTCTAATACAACCAAAAGTATACAGACAACTCTTACCTCTGTTCAGAGTAACTCTGGAAAGCCCAAAGTCTGTCAGCTTTATGTGGCCCTGATTAGAAATGAGCATGTTGTCTGGCTTCAGATCTCTGAAAACATGAATATAGTTGAAGTCAGCAAAAAGACCACTGAGCAACATTAACAAAGTCAAGTGTCCAGAAACACTTAATACAAAACATTGGTTTTGTTACTGAGAAACATAGTTGTTTCTCAGTAACATCTCTCACCCACCAGAAGGTTCCAATTAGAGGAATACACCAAAACAACTAAACATATCTAACACTAAACATGATATGAACATCTCAGGTCTTGTAAAACCTCTGTGCATGTCACCAAGAGTGGCATATTTGTTTTTCTGCAGGTTTAACTAATGTTATTCCCAAGTACTACTATCATAACACTTACTAATGTGCAGCTCCTACAAGCAAACCTCTACTGAGGTTTTGCTGAATGCAAAAAGAACTCCCACTACAGGGGGAGCGTTTGGGTAATCAGGGTCCCTTTGTCCACAGTTAAATGTTTGAGGTACCCAGAGGTCTTGAACCAGCTGCTGATACACCTCTGGACTGTGAAAGTAGGCAGGGGAGAGCAGTGTATTTGTCTGCTCAGCATACATGGACAGATTTTATTTTAGGCATTGTTTCATGACATTGCTGCAGTGCACACATGCAGAAAGAGCTTCCAGAAGCTCTAGCAAATGAGGCAGCTGTTACAATAAACTGGTGGATTGGTTGTGTGATAGAGTAAAGAAATTAAAAACACAAACTATCAAATACTTAACTTGTATGGGGGGGGGGGAAAAATTACCTGTGGATTATCCCATGCCTGTGAAGATAGTCAAGGGCCAATGCTGCTTCAGAAATATACTTAACAGCCATTTCTTCATCAAAATATCCATAAATATGGAGAAGAGATTTGACATCTCCACCAATAAGGTACTCCATCACCTGCCATTCAATCATTTTAAATTTAAAATTTAAAACACATCTCAAATTTGCAAGTATCAAAATACAAAATAGTTTTCACCCATAGAAAAATGCTATTTCAAGGAGTAGAAGCTGATAGAAGCTGGATTGTACAAACTTCATTTCTCACATAATACTTTTCACTTGGATGAAACAAGGCTTCAAATGACAGAGAACATGAAATATTTTCCTTTAATGGATCATTTTCTTATTTTATTTGCCTAGCCTACTCTCAGAAGTTAATTTAAAAGCTGACTACAGTAGTTATTTGAGAGTTGACTACAGAAGGACTTCTATACTATAGGAAATGAAATGCAAAGCACTCCTGTGAAACTCAAGGCCTGAAGCCAAAGAGCAATGATAACCTGTTCTATACAAATCAAAGTATCTCAATATTTGATTCTGCGAGTATTTATACACAATACTAAATTCAGACCTGAGCCTTGCAAAATAAGTACAAATTGCCAGAAATGTATACAGTGAGAGTTACTGTGCATTTAAGACAGTGTCTAAAAAGAACACACAGAGAGACATCACTACTGCCCAGGTCATATTCAAGATAAAAGACAGCAGGGCTTCAGAAACTCAGTCTTTAAAGATAAAAATGCATTTATGGGGTTTTGGTCGAGAAATCTCACCAGTACTTAGATTCCAATATACAGTACTCTAACATATATATATATACATACACACTCACAGACATGACTAGCATCTCCTTCACAAGTCCTTCACACCGAAGTCCTCTAATGCACGCAGCAGTTCAGAGATTCCAGAAAAAGAAGCCTTTGTTTACGCTCCAAATGCATTGTAGGAGGAGTGTATAGCAACCTCCCCTCAGAACTGGCTGTGTGTGCTTACAGCAATCGAGCCAAATTATGCCAGACCCTTTGCAGACAGCCTGAATCCATAGGACCCTCTGTGGAGGCAGTATATACACTCATACACAAGTCCTCCTGTGCTTCACAGTGCTCCATGTAGATTAGCACTTGGTTTTGCCACTCAATCTTGTCATGTAGGCCAACTGCCATAATGAATTTTGAGCACAGTTTAACACAGATTTCCTTTAAGTGAGCCATGAAGTGTCTTTCAGTCATTTGGATTCTGCTTGAACAGAACGGTTTCTTGTTTTTCCTAAGATTTATATGTATTTCTAAGACATATTAGCTATTAGAAAAGCTTTCCCTGTAAAAAAGGGGAATGTAGGTGAAAAGGTACCAGGGGAAGAGAAGTATTTTACTTGTTGAACCATTCTGAGAAAGAAGAAAGTAAAAGTGACTAAGAAATACCCACTCACTACCACAAAAATATGTTTCCAGACATCACTACAGTTCACACTCCATTTTCAAGACAGTCATAAAAGACCACAGAAATTTTTTACTCACCAAATAGATGTTATTTGCTGACTGAAGTGAGTAGTATAAGTGCACAATGAAAGGACTTTTACTGAGAGCCAATGCATCCCTCTCTGCCTGGACCTGGTGAACCATGTTTTTGTTGATCATGTCTGCTTTTTTCATCACCTGAAAACCAAAACAATATCAAGTAGACAAACATTCTTTTTTATTCGCTAAACCTGCAGTTCTTTAGTCAGTTAATTTATCTATATATTTAAAACTTGCATATATGAAACAGATCTGTGACTTCATATACAGAGAGAGTTTTAAACAACAGGTTATTAGACAACCATTTCCACTGTTCTCCTAATTCAGTCCTGAATGGAAATCACACTACCAAAGATTTACTACAATTGCACACACTGGAAAACAAGTGCTTAGGCTGCATGCAAAATTAATCTGCACTGAATTAACCCTCTTATCCACAGTACACAACTCAGAACCATGAAAAACTGTTCAACACTTAGAAAGGCACTTGCTGACCAAGTCTTTCTTCAGAAGCTGAGATATAAGAACAGAGACTGAAAACAGAGTGCAGCACTAAGCCAGCCCATCTTGGTATCTCCAAGTGCAAGACTGCAACTGTTCCAGCCTCTAATTCTTACTTTGCAGAGAAAGCAAGAAAATTGTAAATTTTAAATTAAAGAAGAACTAAGTCACACACAAAAAAATTGCTTTGGGAAGAAGCCTCAAAGGTATGCAACTCATCACAAAGAAATAACAAGCTTAATTGTGAACTAGGCTCCAATTCCTGCTTTGAATTACTCCACTCTGTGATAAGTTCAGTCAATATTAACCCTGAACAGAAGATGCACAATAGCATAGCTGGCAAGTGTTTAGGCAAGCATGGCATATGAATTAGAAATTTGCCCCCACACATCATCTTTTTTGCAGATATATATGGTGATAATAAAGCAAGTTTAACTTATCCATTCTCTATGCAACATAACTGTAAAAAGTTGAGTCTGCTCAAATTTGATACTTTCTATGTAAATGTTGACCTTAGCTGTAAAAATATTTAGCATACATTAAATTCAGTAGTTTGAATAACCCATAAGTCTCTCTGCAGTAGGGGTAAAGGATTTCCACAAAAGCTTTTAGGTCACAATACTTTCAATAAACTAGAGTACGATACTAAAGAAACACAACTGAACCACTCTATATGCAGCACCTAAACCACAGAAAATTACTTTCCACACCTATCATCACTATTATCAAAGATGATACTAAAAAAATTCCGAGACATCCACAGAATGCATAGAAATATACTTTTAATAACTAGTGGTCTTTAGCACATGTTAAACGTTGTAGTCGTGAACTAGTCATAGACCTCACTGCAGTAATGATAAAGAATTTACACAAATGCATTGATCGCAAAATGCTTAAAAGAAAATAGTGTAAACAAGCATACGTAGCTCTGAAGAGCGACATCTATTTTGCACGACTAGCTTTACATTTCCTCTTCTTTGTGAGCTACGCAGCTTGTCATAATCCTTTTACTCACAAAGTCAGGCTCGCACAAATCATCAGTAAAGTTTTTACTACTGACAAACTTTGATTTTAGCCTTCTGTGGATCAACGCAGAAAACACGATATGATTTTTGTTTGTTTGTGGTTTCTTTTTAACGCGTACTCGGCAACAATGTTTTGCATGATTTGCTCTCGTCACGCATCTCAGAGGCGGTGCTCGCAGCCCCGGGCAGCGGCGGCAGCTGAGGGTGCTCAGTTACGGCAGCTGTTCACAGGGGAGAAGCAAAGCGCTTGGCGAGGCTCTTCGCGCAGTTCCCTCGACTATTAAGGTACCTCTACGAGCAGCCGTCATTACCAGAGCCCCCCCGACAGAAGCCTCGGGGCCGCGATAACAGTGGAGCACAGCCCTGCAGACAGCGCGAACCCGGGCACCGGGCAGCGCCCGAGAGCAGCTCCCCGAGAGCCGGAGCCCCGCTCCCCCCGAGAGCCCGGGGGGGCTCCCACGGCGTCTGCTCCCCCGAGAGCCGGGGGGCTCCTGCGGGGGGCCCGGCGCCTCCCTGTCCCGCCGGGACGCCCCCTTCCCACACGAGGTTACTCATGAGCGGAGCCGGCAACGCCGCGACCCCGGGCGACCCCTCACCTTCACGGCGTAGAGCCGGCCCGCCTTACGGCCCAGGTACACCTTCCCGAAGGCGCCGCGGCTGATAGGCTTCACGATGGTGAACTCCTCGATGGAGGGTGGCCGGGGGACCTCGACGCGCCTCGGGCCGGCGGCTGTGGTAGTGGCGGCATCGCCCCCCGGCTCCTCAAGCCGCTCGATCCCCATAGCGCTGCCCGGCCCGGCCCGGCCCCGCCGCGATTCAAAGCGGCGCCGGCCCCGCCCCGCCCGCGCCGTCACCAACGGGCCCGGGGCGCTCTCGCGAGAGCCCGCGCTGTGGTGCGCGGAGAGGGAAAGCAGCCCCACAGCGCCCGCCCAGCCGGGGAGCGGAACGGGGACCAGCGACCGGGGCTGGCATCTGGCTAATAACTAACTACTCGGCTTGTCATCTCGGTTCCCAGTTTGGCAGTAGGCTCTTACTTGCCACGACCAGGTAGATTGCCCACTCTCCGTGGGAAGCTTGAAGGTGTAGCGATTCAACAGAACTTGGCGTGAGATATTAAAGAACTGGAAGATAATATTTATTTAGAAAGAAGCAACTGAATTTGGTTCCACATACAAATTTTCTCGTGTGTTTCACTCACTCACTGAGTTCAAGAAGCATTGGGACAGCACTCGGGCACATTGTGCGATTCTTGGGGTGTCCTGCACAGGGCCAGTAGGTCCCAGCAGAGATCCTGTAGGGTCCCTTCCAGTTCAGGATATTCTATGATTTTGTCACCCTTGCATACTTGATATGTCCAAGAGCTGTGTCCAAATGGCACAACCAGGAGGGCTTGCATGTCAGAGAACTGGACCCACCCTGTCCTTACTGTCTTCTGGTGTTCTTGGGGTTGGTGGTGGCAAACTGCTGTCTGGGCAGGTCTTTTGTGATCAGAAGTTAGATTAGTGTGTTCTGTTGCTTCCCTGTAGTTCTTGATTACTTCAGCTGCTATTTATCTTGGGCAAGGTTGCTTCGTGTTTTATTTGTGTCCTTTTTTTGGATATCTCCATGGCTACATTCTGCCTCCCCGTTGTGACAGCAGGGGCAGGGATGGCATTTACAGCGTGCTCTGACCTTGCTGCCATCCCCGTGTTCCCAGAGCCCAGGCCTTCTGACAAACTATCTGTGATAGCGCCCTATTTTATCAGAGCACAGGCCGCCTGTTTTGTTTACACAGCACAGCCCTAGGTGTTTACCAGTTTTACTGCACTCAGTTGGTCACTTTTTTAACCCTTGCTTTCCTGCCTTTATATTGCTTTCACATATACATTGCTGTCCATGTTTCATTCACACCGATCTTAATTGTTTTGTTGCAGTCTGTGCAGCAGCAAAGAGCTATTGCTGCAGAGGTCAGTGCAGAACTGGGGGTCTGTATTAATAAACACAGTAGAGTAGTCATCAGGCCCTTGTTTTGCTCTGACACATCACTTATACTGTGATGCTGCACAGGGAGGCCATGTACTTGTGAAGGAGAGCTCCTATCCCACAGATTCCAGCAATACAAGCAATTTAATGAGCAGATGTAGAAAACGTTTTCAATTAGCTTTCTGTAATGGTATTAAATACAATCTATCATTGTCCGTGTTTGTCATTTAACGTTAGTTTAGCTGTGTCTCACCGCCCCTGATGCCAGCAGAGAAGCCCAGCTGAGAGCAGGAGGGATTGCTCCTTGTACTGGTATCCTGTGCCAATAGCAGGTGATGCCAGCCGTGAAACTGCATCAGGCAGTTCATATTCTGGCACAGCCTGAGCTCCTCCAAAAAAGGGCCTACGCCTTCTCTCCCCTCCAGGCACCACCAAGTCACTGCACAGCTATGTGGCAAACTGCTTCATGGGGTGGATCCAGGTAAATGTTCATCAACGCTTAGGTTTTTTTGCTGTTGCCGGGTGAGGTTTCTGCCAAATCAGTAAGCTGAGCCACATGATTGGGATCAGGAGAGTGGTAGTGGAAAACAGAGATATACAGGAAGGCAGGGGGAAGCAGCACTGTGGCTGTGCTCATCTAGATCAGTGTAAGCTGGTGTGGGATAGCAGTGAGGAACAGTGATCAGGTGAAAGAAAGGAAACAGCTGTAAACCCCCAATATAATTGGACAGAACATGGAAAAAAATGCACAAGAAAGAACAAATATCAAAGACCAAATTCTGCCTCACGTAGATCCATCTTAACTGAATGCAAGTGACAGTATGGGGGTACTGATTCTGTCACCGAAACAATGGGAAATAAACTCTAAACTAGTTTGCTGGGTTAGAAAGTTGACATTACTTTAATCAGTGCTGAAGGTACATGGGGATATAGCTCCACAAAAGATGTACATCAGTTATCAAAACTTTTGACTATTTATACATTTTCGCAAAGGAATTACTGTTCATCACTTACAAGTTACATAGTTCTCTTATTAATTAGTATTTTATCTTTTGTTGATTAATGATTCTCTAACTTCTCATGTTCATTAGTCCCCACACTCAGTTTCTTTTGGGTCTGTGGGTCAGTGGTCAGGGATGCCCCTACCAGAATTACCTTTTACCCACTTGGAGCTGAATTTCAGCACAATTACTGAGATAGTTTTATTAGTTTCTTCCTTATGTTAGGAGTCCCGCCAGATGTCCTGGTTGCCCAAAACTTCCGCGTTCTTTCATTATCAGTGGTACATCCCTCCTCCCAAGCCACAATAATTTCCTCCCCCAGGTCTGAGCGCATCAAAGCATGCCAAGCCCTAATTTTCTTCTAACACACGGGCACAGAGCTTGCTTGTTAGCCGCTATCCGTTTCACGGATTAAATCTCCCTTATGGTTGATTAAGCCCCACTATTTCACCCCACCGCTGCACAGGCTCCCTTTTTAAAGAAACGCAACTTGCTCGGTAACAATACATAATTTAACGTGTAAAATTCTTCTACGGGTGCGGCACGCTCTTACGCCCCCCTCCCCCCGAATGTTTCGGGCGCTGGAGGGGGTCCCGCCGAGCGCAGCCCGTGTGGGACGCGTTCCGAGCGGCGGCCCGGAAGCTGTTCCCGCGCGCCGCTTCCGGGGCGGGCGGGCCGGTCAGCGCGGCCGCGGGCGGACATTTCCCGCAGCGGGGCCGCTCCTGCTGCCGGCGGCTCCCGCGGCGCGGCTCGCTCGGCTCGGCTGGGCGGCGGGAGAGGCGCCGCTGCCCGGCGTGCCCGGCGGGACGATGTTCTCCTTCTCGACCGTGCAGCCGCAGGTAAGGGGCTGGCGGGGCGGCCCCGGCCCGGTGCGGGGCCCGCGCTCCGGCGAGCGGCGGCGCTCGGAAGGCCCGGGGGCTGCGGGGCTCGGCTGGAGGAGCCGCGCTCCGGGGGATTTGGTGCGGGCAGAGGAGCGGGTGGGGGCCTGGGATCCCGCACCTGGGAAAAAGTAAATGGAGGAGAGAGAGGTACAGTAAAAGCTTGTGAAGAGTAAAAGCTGCTGAAATGACGAAACAACCGGAGATGGCGCTTTTTAGTGTCTGTACTAGAAACGAAGGCTGGTGGTGTGTGTTATTACAGCTCAAATTAAACGGTGCTGGTAATTGTCATGGGTTGTTGCGAAAACCGAAAAGAAACGACATAGAGCTTTAGTGGAGAAAAACCCCGTTAAAAATTTTTTATATAGAACAGTCTGCAGTCGCGAAGACGTCTGTTATTAGACAGTGAGTCTGATGGCACTGGTGGGTTTTGTGGACTTTGATCTGAACCAGTGGCTTTACTTTTATGTTTTGTGGTAGAGGGATTAGTATGTGATGGTTTTATTCCGCATTTATTTTATTTGATTGTTCTTTTCGGATGTGGAGAATGTGTTAATAGCTTTTGTTAGTGTAGTGAAGTAGAAGAATTCGTACGTTTCTAAGACTATGTGATTAATTTCACCACAGTGGGAAATGTAAGAGGAAAGTTATTGGTCGGGGTGTTGGCTCTGACCTCTGGACACTTTATGGTTTTACCGTAAACTCCTAGATTTTAATTATAACTTTGGACAGTTACTTATGAGGCAGTTTTCATGTCTCACAGCACCGTCTCTCTAGTCAACACAGAGATGAAAGTTCTTGCAGAAGGACATTCACAGACATACCTGATTAAACTTCGGTCAGGTATCATTCCAGCAACCACAGCTGCACCTCAGCTTATTTTAGTGATGTGTACTGAGACTTTGGAAGTGTTGAAATTATTTGTACCGTATATTCACAAGAGATGTGGTCATATGCTAGAGGAGGAGCCCTGATAAGTGATGCACTTGGGCTTCTGTACTGATTCATGAGGTGGAGTCAGCTGAGAGCTGCTGAACTGCAGATTTGACTGTCGGAGTATATTAGGTGTGTTGCTAAAGTGGGCTCCCAAGAAAGAAAACATAAAGGCAGCTTTTGGAAATAGCTCTTATAATGCAGGAAAAGTACAGATATTTCAATTTATGAAAGCATTACTTTATAGATAAAAATAGGTGCTGTTTGGAAAACAATACAGGAATCAATAGTACTTAAGAAAAGTGTTCTCTAAATTAGTAAACCGTTGATTAAGCCTCATGATTTAAGGGTATTCAAAAGCAGCCACTGAGCTTTCTGTTCAGGTTGTTTCAAGGGGAACCAGCTGGATGGAGTCTCTTGGTTTTTTGTAACTACACATTGAGGGCAGTCTTTGCATGTCCTAAGTGTTGATGAAATGTATCTACTAGTGTATTTGCAAACCTAATGGTTTTCTTTAAACTAAGCCTGTGTTTGGAAACCAGGAAATACAGCCCATTTTGTTTTTTCTTTCCTCTTCCTGGCTTTGTGAGCTTCTAATCTGTCATGTGCATTTACCTTTCTTTTTCCCCCCCTTTAAATAGAGATATCAGCTAACACGGTGGTGTTAAAGCTGAAGTCCTCAGTTAAAAGGCAGTGTACAATTATAAGTCAGGGTTTGGAATAGAAATATGATTAAATAGTTTAAACAAGGTTAAATCATTATCTGATTTTTTTTTTTCCCCCAAGGCTACTGTTCCTCTGAGTCACCTTATCAATGCCTTTCATTCACCAAAAAGCTCCACTAATACTGCCAGCAAAGCATCCATACAGCCTGTCCAGAGGGACACCTCCCCGGAGCATGATCCTCAGAAGACGGAGGTACTAAAAAGCTCTAGAAAAAGTGATTTTTTACTTTGACCTAAATTAAATCTGAATAATACCCGTTTAAGTGAATTTAACACTCAACTGGTTTATAAAATAATGTAATGTGACTAAAAC